CCGACTTGACTTCTGATTTCATGGATACATTTATGTCGTTTTCTTGACAGCAACAGAGAAGTGGTTCACCTTTGTCTTCGCAATCTTTTCTTGACTTCCTAGTTTAGTCTACAGTCTTGCTATTCCGTGGAGGTTCCCCATTGAAATAGAAATCAAGCAGGGGTGAAATTCAGCAGGTTCTGGAGAACTGGTAGCGGAAATTTTGAGTAGTTCGGAGAACCGGCAAATACCACCTCTGGCTGGCCCCAGAGTGGGAAGGAAATGGGGATTTTGCAGTATCCTTCCCCTACCTCGCCCACCAAATCACGTCTACAGAACCGGTAATTAAAAAAAATGAATTTCATCACTGAAATCAAGACAGATTCTCCTTAATTTCTGAACCTAGATAAAATGTCCTGTTTTGCCATCTGCATAGACAATTCATTTTGATAATTGAGCCATTTATTAGCACCACTTTCAATAGTAGAAAAAAGTATGCCACAACAATAATGCCATACCTAGGGTTAATATAGTAGTTACGCTGAAGACTATTTTGTTTCCCCAGGTGCAGGGATCCTCACCAAACAAGCCAAATTTAGAGAATAAGAATTGGCATAATACAAAAAATCTCTGAAACATCAAGCTGCAATAAAGTGCTAAAAAGTGTTAGGGTTCATTTGCTTCCACAAAGGGAATCCTTCTCTTTCATTTGATGTTGACCCGAGGCACTGAAATGCTATTCACAATGTCCTCGTACTGAGGAGGGGGATCCAAATGACATGCAGATTCATTTCTGGGTGTGCTACTTTCGCCAGCAACTTCCTCGTAGGATGGTGGCGGTTCACAGTGTGACATCTCGATTGGTAAGAAGCCCATAGGCCCCTCTGTGTGGCTCAGGTACACTGGGGAGCGCCCACTGCCTTCAAACATTTCTTCTTGGGGAGAATGAAGAATGCTGAATGACGGAAGGATAGGATTTCTCCCATCAGGAATGGCTCTGTCGTCTGTATCTTCCCTGCTTCTGCTCTGCATGTACATGGACTGCCGGTGTGCGGTTTTTTGGAACAGGCATCTCCATGTGACAAATATAATAAGGACCACCACCAAAAGGCCAATGACTAGAGGAAACGTTAGGTAAAATGGGTACCAGTTCTGTCCTGTGTTGCTCCCTCCATAGAGTCCATTGGTGTAGTCTTTCCAAAATTCTGCCTAAAAAAAGTGAACAATGGGTTATTATGATCCATTTTTACCTACTGATACTACAATGATGGTTGTTTGCCATTAAGCTTTGATTTTTGTATTTAGTTTATTGCAGTATGTTTGAATGACAAGTGGACTAGAAGGATTTGAAACAAAGAAAACAAGGCAGGACTAAGAAAAAATGAGTTCCTTTTTACAAATTACTGCATTTTTCAGGGTGTAAGATGTACTTTCCCCCCTCCTAAAAGAGGGTGAAAATTTGGGTGCGTCTTATACACCGAATGTAGCCAAAAACGCAAAGCACGGAGGAGGCAATGGTCTGTGGCAATCCCTGCAGCTGGAACAGATGATTGGGGGTATTCCGGGAGGCCGATCCACCCGCCAATCAGCTGCTCATGCTGAATCAGGCTGCAATAATGTGCTAAAGCTGACCTGCCTGTCCTCTATTTGCTACAAGGACGTGTCAGAGTTTGCAGCAGCAATCACATTCAGAGAGCGCACACAAGTAACTGATTCAGCAGGATTCAATAACTTCTCTTTCTATATAACACAACACATTAAGGAAATATACAATACCAAAAGCAGGTTTTCCAAAGTGGTAGTTCGGCAGAGGAAAGAAGTTTCACTTTCAGTTTTAGTTTCAGGTATCAGCACATCATGCAGCTTTAGTACGAACAAGCCATGCCCAGGTTCCTTGTTGTCTTCTTCCTTGGTTGCTCACACAGCAACTACAGTTTGTTTCCAAACATCCCCTCAACTCTCTCACATAATGACAGGACGCTAGCCAGATGAATACCATGGAAGCTGGTAGGCAAAGGCAGAATATTTTTTTCTTACTTTCCTCCCCAAAAACTAAGGTGCGTCTTATACTCCGGTGCGTTTACAGCCCAAAAAATATGGTAATCTCTAAAAGGAGGAATTGAAATTTGGTATCTCAAATTTGGGACAAGTTGAACAAGTTCATCTTGTCCATGTTATAATAAAAATAGCTGAATAAAAATAGTCACATGATGAGATCTTGTAGGTCTGCTGAAAGATCATTCTGGAATGATTCAGCAAAAAGGAACTGACTCAGAGTAAGCATCATCTAGGTCCAAAATCTAAAATTTCATATTTATAGTTATTTTCTAGCCTCATTCTTTTAAGATAAGAACACAAAATATGCCATAGCTCTAATGTAGAATCATGTATTATACGAAAAAATGTTAGATAAATATGTGAAGAATGTTTTGTATTTTTTTAGTAGGTAACTTACTGTCTTTTCATCGTTTTCAAATGCTTCTCTTGCCTCTTCTTTATCACAGCGTTCTTCATAACATTCACGCTCAATGTTTCCTTTTTTAAGTTCTTCCAAAAGTCCATTCGCCCGTGGGTATCTTTTTAAGACAGAATTGGCCTTAGCCTCTACGAGGAATACTGCAGAAAACAAGGATTTACTAGTACTTACAAGTTGAGAAATTTATGTTCAGGATAATAATATTCTGCACCATGAAGATGTACATTTGGCAGCAATATTAGTTCTGGCCAGCTCGACATCACTCATGTCAGGGGCAATTGTGCTGGCCAAATGCTAAGGCAGGACTTGGCAGACCCTCCCTCTCATTATGTTAAAATATGATTGCATCATTAAAACAATGATGCAATTCTCATCAGGTTGCATTGTCAGAATGGGGAAACTGATACATACACAGACACACACACACACACACACACACACCACAGAAGTGACTACACCACCACCACCCCACATTTTGTAAATATTTAAGGATATCTCTTCATGGGACAACACTGAAGAAATGACACTTGGCTACAATGTAAAGTAGTGAGTATTCAGCTTNAAAGCTTATTGATTTAATAAGAGTGTATCACAACACAGGTTTCTCCCCCTTACATTGGGAAAGTTAATTGTTATGGTATTAAAATACCACTGTAAGAAACATTTTAACAATCACAACATTTCTTTGTACTGTAATAATCTCAACTTAATAATCAACATAATGCACAATCTGCTCCATGATATAACTGGTTGTTTTGTTAGTTGCAAAGTCGTGTCCGACCCATCACACCCCCATGGACAATGTTCCTCCAGGCCTTCCTGTCCTCCACCATCCTCTGGAGTCCATTTAAGATCAGACTGACTGCTTCGGTGGCTCAATCCAGCCATCTCATTCTCTGCCATCCCTTTCTTCTTTTGCCCTCAATCTTTTCCAGCACTAGGTTCTTCTCCAGTGACTCCTTCCTTCTCATTTAGGTGGCCAAAGTATTTGAGTGTCATCTTCAGAATCTGGCCTTCTAAAGAGCAGTCAGGGTTGATCTCCTCTAGGACTGACCGGTTTGATCGCCTTGCAGTCCAAAGGACTCACAGGAGTCTTCTCCAGCACCCGAGTTCAAAGGCCCCCATTCTTTGGTATAACTGGTAGACATATTTAATTTAGCAGAAAGAATGCTGCATCTTATCCTGAATAGTGTCTAAACTGCAAAAAATACTATGAAGACTTTTAATTTAAAAAAAAAATTGTTATCTGAAATGTCAAGCAAAATTCTCCCAATTTTTTTTGTAAGTTTTAACATTCGTTAGAAACCCACATTATACATGCATCGTGTACCTTATCGTCATCATCTAGATAAATCCAAATATGAGGAAAATAGTTGCTGGAGTTATTTTGTATGCAGCAATGGTTGGAATAATTGGGGGGAAAATATGGGAAAACTGAGAAAACAATTAACAGATGAAAACAACGTGTCCACAACTCTCCTGTGTGTGCTGATGTAACAGTCCTGATGAACTAAAATTTGGGACTCTTTTCTCATAGACTTTTCATTTAAAGGCTATTTTAGCAGTGACTCACAGATCACTCATTCCTCTTTACAACCATTCACTTTCACTTCTAAAGTTTGGTAACACTTCTTGTTTGCACGAGTTTACAGTTTGGATACCATGACCCTAACAAATTGAACTGCAGATTGGTTTCTGTGCCAGAATAATGCCCCTTTACAATTCTAGTCCCTACAATGGCATGTATTATGCTGGTACAGCAGATGTTTGAAACAATCAGCACATACACACACTTGCTAACAATGATTTAAAAAAAACAAACAGAACTGTTCCAAAGGGTAAACTGTCCTGTAATTCTGTTGTGACATCAATATTTTTGCATCTTTTCTTTTTTTGAAGATATCATGTTGCAATTTTCTAAAACCATGTTACCATAGACAAAGATTAGTTTATGGAAGATATTTTATAAACCAAAATAATTAAATATCTGCTGCTCCTCTTTGCTATTTCAAACCCATTACTCCCTTTTTACAACCCTGTAGTACTCATCTAGGGTAGAGTCAGGGCATTTACTGGCTGGGTGCCCTTCCTGACACCTAAATGGAAGTTCGCAGCAGATTTTTTTTCTTTGCCCCCTAAACATCTGCCGCTACCAAGGATTGAACTCTCAACCTTCCAAGTAGGAGGCCAGTGTTTTCACCAGTAGGCCACAATGCTGCTTGTTATGAAAGGATAAAACATATACGTTTTCACAAGATAGATCTGTAATATAAAGCACATGGCATGATAGCTACATGAATGTTTGGGAAAAGGTCGGTTAATATCAAATATATAATTAAATCCCATTTTATTTATAAATAGTCTGTCATCTGCACCTCTGTAACTTGTCTGGCTTGGTTCTGCAATCCAGCAACACAGAGACAGACTTTCATTGAGAGCTGTGAAAATATTTACAGACCCCCTCACATCCTGGACATCAATTGTTTCAACTCCAACCCTCAAAACAACACTATAGAGCACTGCACATCAAGACAACTAGACACAAGGACAGTTTTTTCCAAATGCCATCAGTCTGCTAAACGAATAATTCCCTCACCACTGTCAAACTATTCACTAAGGCTGCATTATTATTACTATTAGTCTTCTCATTGTTCTTATCACCCATCTCCTATGACTGCAGGACTGTAACTTTCTTGCTTGTATCCTTATGATTTATATTGATATTGATATTGTTTCCTGATTGCTTATTTGTACCCTATGACTATCATTAAGTGTTGTATCTCATGATTCTCGATGAATGTATCTTTTCTTTTTATGTACCCTGAAAGCCTATGCACCAAAGATAAACTCCTTGTGTGTCCAATCACACTTGGCCAGTGAAGAATTCTATTCTATTCTATATAATTTAACATAATCTATTTGCATCTATCTTGTACAGGAAGTTCTTTGGCTGCCCCGCCAGTCTCTGAAAGTACTTGGGAGATCTGGTCTCCATTTTGTAGAAATGATTCCTGTATGGCTATCATATAAGTATGCCTATTATTAGAACGGTGCCAGGATTTGGAATTGAAGACAGGAAGATGCTTTGGAGACACAGAAGCACAAACAGCTGCATGATTTCAGGGTTAAGCTGTAGCCAGTTTAAAAAGCTGCAGACAGATCCTTCTGAATATTTCTGCTTTGACATTCAGAAATGTGGGTTAGCTTTTCAACCCAAAGCATTGCATAGCCTTACTATTTATAAGCATTTAATTTATAAGCATCCTATGGGACGTACATAATTTATAGTTTTCAGCTCCTGTTTAATTCCTGGGAATTCCTGGCAATAAAGTCAACACTTCTGGTTACTGCAATTCACCAACACCCACAGAAACAGGTGGCATAAATCATTGTTTTTAAGAAAAACTTCAAATGCATGGGTTTAGTGATGTTCATATGTTGAATTACTACATATTGCAGTAATTAACAAAGCATGCCATGTAATACATGTAATACAGATTATCTTATTCCTCTCCAGTTCCTTAAAAATAAGATTTGCCTTATTCCCTGCCTTCCAGTGTTACACTGATAAATAATTTATACCGGGGGTCATCAAATTTTCGGACCCCTGGGACCACTAAATTCATAATTTTAAATCCCATGGACCACTAATATGATCTGCCTAAGGACCAGCTAGGTGGGCATGGCTAGGTGGTCCTGTGACTGGGTTGGCATGGCCAACTCAATTTCACTCAGGTTGAGGGGTGCCTTGCCAGCCTCTACTCGCCACTCCTCGCCTGCCCGCCCAGGCTCCTTAGGGCCCCAACAGAAAGCAGTTGTGGGAGCAAAGCAGCCATGATGAGAAAGAGTTGGCAAAACAGCTCAGTTCAGATTGGATCTGAACGAGAAGGAGGCTCAGCAGAAGCACTTCACTGAGAACTACGAGCATAGGCTTTCTAAGTAGAGGGAAGACCTGCGGGAGTGCAAGGCCAGGTACCGGCGCCTGGAGGCTCAGTGGGCTGGGATGATCAGCCAATTCCAGACCATGATTCAGTCCCACTGGAACGAGGCCCTCCGGCTCTTCGCCACCAGTGGCACTTCCCTCCAGCCTTCACCCAAAGCCCCACACCAGGAGGCCGAAGCAGACCCCAAGTCAGAATTTCTGCCTCCCTCCGACCCACATAAAAGGACCCAGAAGTGGGAGACTCTCTGCAGCAACACAAACATTCATTGCATGTATCAGGCCCAGGGGCATAGTTTGAGGACCCCTGATTTAGTGCAATATAAAAAATGCAAATAATTTTTCTGCAGACCACCAAAATTTTCCTGTGGACTTGGTGACGGCTGATTTATAGGACATCTAATTATCAGTCCAGAAACAAGCTGTAATGGTCATGTTAGCTTTTCTCCTACTTTTGTATTCATCAAATAAATAAAATAAAGTGCTGTTACAATTTGCTGGCCTTACCAATATCAGTGTACTCTATGCCAATTGCAGCCAAATATGAACGTGCAGACTAGAGAAGAATGTACAATATTATTTTGAAAAGCTATTGACAATGTGACTCACCAGTGTTTTGATATTTTAGTTTGATTAATCTTAGCCCGCAGCATCTTATTGCAACTTTTTTATTTAAAACAGAACTAACAAGACTTGCAAAAGAAACCTTTAGCAAAAAAGAATCAAGATACTCATGTTTTCAATAGCTTTATTTAGGATATGAAGTTGCCCCAAATGTTTTAAAGTGGCATAATTTAAATTGTAAACCATACATGTAAAATATTTAATACTGCAATAAAATTGTTACGTTTTGACTAAACAAGTTGTTGGAGAGTCAAACAGTGGTAGACAAAAGAAATGGCTTCTAGAGTTT